TCATTAATAGTTGTATTGTCCTGGGCCATTTAGAACAGCGCAAAAAAAATTCCCAACATTGTTTCACTGGAAAACATGCCTGTAATCTGATGATCTAATACTCTTGATATGTTCTCACACTGTTAACAAAGTATTATTGCCCCAACAAAACTACAACAGTGCAGGGTGTGATTATCTAGTCTAGTAATAACCATAAAAATGTCATAAATTAAGCAATGACTCTACCCATGTTGTTTTAAGTGAATGTGTATAAAATCATGAGTTGTGTAAGAGCCATGGTGACCCAAGTGACTCATCTTCAGACTTCAGTCACTTTAGATTAGTGAGCATTGTGAAGATTTATTTAGTACTATCTACTGGGCTGATGTGTTGTTTCCATGGGGTTAGGAATACCTATCTGTTATATCAAGAGTATAGGAAGCAATAAGACTTTAGGAGGGCTACCATGCAGAAGAAGAATGTATTGTCAGTGTGCATGCATGGGACTTGGAGACAGGAACTCTTGAATTCCGTTCCCAGCTTTGCAGCTGACTTAGTTGTTGGCCTGGGCAGTTCACTTAAGCTCTGTCTCAGATTTCCCATCTGATGATTTGTCACTCAAAGGGTATTCCCAGGATTAATTAGTTAATGCTTTATTGTGATTTAAAGATTAAAGTTTTAATGTGGCGGCCAGTGGTTCTCAAACTGTGGGTTGGTACCCCAAAGTGGGTCGCAAGCCCATTTTAATGGGGTCACCAGGGCTAATATTAGACTTGCTGTGACCTGGAGCTGAAGCCGACGCCCAAGCCCCTCCATCCAGGACTGAAACCGAAGCTCAGAAGGGGGTCGCAGTGCAATGAGAACTGAGAATCAATAGATTTCTACGTCAATGGAATTGGTACAGGAAAAAAAATATTCTGACCCTCATTAGCAAACTCATGTTGTGTCAGCTCTCCATGAAATTTCTCTCTCACAGGAAATATCTTTATTCATTTATATTTTTCTGAAGCCTGTAAACTGGGCTGATAAATGCATGGGACTAATTCCATTTATAATAATATTTTAGTCATTTGAGCTACAACTTGACTAACTACTAGTGCTATTCTGCATACAATGGGTTGTAATTTGTAGACATGAGTTATAAACTCCTCAAGACCTGGAAATAATTTATTAGCAGTCAAGACATATTAACAAGCCACATGCCTAAAGTCTGTTGAAAGATGAAATGACACAGCTGTCAATTAAAAATAAAATCTAGCTAACTATGTCATCTGTTTTACTGTAGTTATGTTAGGCCAGATTCTTAACTGCCTTGTACCTTGTGTAGACATTTACAATATCAGTGAAAAGAGGGAGCAAAACCACGACAAATCAGAATGGTAGCATTTTACAACCACTTTCCTCTCTCTTTCCAAGGTGAAAATGACAACAAAAAAGTACAAGGCGGTGGAGAATCAGCCCAGATAGTTCAATAAACCATGAACCACTAGCATCATTTTTTGAGTCGATTGATCATATTCTGTCCTCAGTTACATGGAAGTAAATGTGAAACCACCTGAAGTAACTCTTTTGAATTGTAAATGAGACCAGAACTTGGACAAATGATTATAGAAGCCCTGACAGTGGTTCATGGTTTATTGAATTCTAGGCACTGGAAGGTTTTTCTTTCCTAACAAACATTTCAGGCTAGATTGTGCAAGGTTCACTGATGTTGAGGAGCAGTTACTCTTCCTTGGGATTACTTATGGGAGGGAATGTTCCCCATCAGGAGTGAGCTGCACAATTGACACAGGCTTCTGGATACACTGGGCCAGATGCTGCAGAGCTCTGCAGCCTCCTCTGCCAGAGCTGCACCACATGTTGGGGGCAGGGAGGGGATGTGTCAGGGCAGGACTCTGCTACACCCATTATTTTCTGGTGGAAAGTTTTCTACCAGCAGTGTAAGTTAAAGGTGCCCCCCTCTTCCTTTAACTTAGCTGCGGCCAAGCCACTAAGAATCAAGGAGACATGACTGGTTCCCTAACCACCTCCCCATACCTAGGAGCCTTGCTCAGGGACAGTGGAGAATTGAAAGCAGCTTTTCCGAAATATTTTTGAAAATTTCAGAGGGATTTTATTCTCTTCATGTGGTCACACCCTCCAACCGCAGGGTGACGGGTGCCTTCTAAATATCGTAGACATGTCTACAAACTACAACCCATTGTGTGTAGAATAGCACTAGTAGTTAGTCAATTTGTAGCTCAAATGACTAAAATATTATTATAAATGGAATGAGTCCCATGCATTTATCAGCCCAGTTTACAGGCTTCATAAAAACATAAATGAATAGATATTTCCTGTGAGAGAGAAATTTCATGGAGAGTTGACACAACATGAGTTTGCTAATGAGGGTCAGACAATTTATCTTTTTCAAAGAAAGAAATAATTTTTAAAACTCAGTCCCATCAAAATGGTAAAGCCCAGATCAGCATTCCCTAGCAGAATTGTTATAGACAAGGACTATTTAGAATAACAGTATTTCTATACACTCCCTTTTGAGAAGAGGCATGCAGCTGCTGGTGTCTCAGATATGGCATGCTGCCAAGTCAGATACATCATATCTTGAGAAGAACAAGCAAGATGAATAGTATCCTAACTGGGCCCTCTTCTTTTATTACCTTTTATGTTATTTTATTTTATTGCCTCTTATTAGCATTTTATTATCTGTGCTAGCCAGATTCTTTACAACTTTCAGGTTTGGGGCCTGATTCATCACTGCAACATGTCTTGTGTAGTCACACCCGTTCAAAGTGAGTCTATAACACTGCCATTCTCCCTTGCCAGTATACCTTATCTACAAAGCTCTCTAGTGTATAAGCCACTATATTGGTTTTGTACTGGTATGCTAATGCTACAAGTGAAACAAGCTATTCCAGGTTTCAGAGTAGCAGCCGTGTTAGTCTGTATCCGCAAAAAGAAGAACAGGAGTACTTGTGGCACCTTAGAGACTAACAAATTTATTAGAGCATAAGCTTTCGTGGACTACAGCCCACTTCTTCGGATGCATATAGAATGGAACATATATTGAGGAGATATATATACACACACACAAAAAACATAAACAACCCAAATACAACCAACCAACCCAAAAAAACCAACCAACCAAAAAAAAAAAAACAACC